TAGGGAAAAAGTGTCCTCTTTCATATTTACTGTATCTTATTTTTATGCCTTTTCTGGTCTCTTATGGCATCAGAGTGTTTGAATTGAAAAACAGCAGTCTTCACTTTGCTACTTTCCTTTTTTTCACCATGACCTTACTTTTCTTCCCGTTTTTTTTTTCCCCAGTGAAATACTGTTCATCTTTATCAGGAATAATTTGTAATGGTTCTCTTGCTTGCAGGAAATTTTCCTGTGCATACTGCAAGTGTGGCACCTGTCCAAAACGACTTAATGGTGTTTATGAGAAGGTCATGTAAGCATAAGCTAAAATCTTTGCATGCTACATCTGTCAATGCTTTACTGCTCTTTCTGATCAGCAGTCTCCAAGGGACCTTGGTTATGGACCACAGTCTCTACTCTGGCTGAAATTTCGGGAGGAAAGGAAGCAGCGTACAGCAAATAGAGTTTTGATTTCTGAGTGGGAGACTTGGTTATATGTCTGCTATTGAGGTATTAAACTTACCAAACCTGTTGAAATAGTGGAGGCAGAAAGTATAACCTAGGATGTGCAGGAGTCCGAGTACTTCTTTTTGCCTCCCTTTCAATGAAGGGAGAAGCAGACGTGAGTGAAATTGAAAGCAACCATCCTCAAGCTTTCACATGAAGTGGACTCACATATTTTCAGTCTGAATGTGGTGCTTGCTCTCACAGAGTGTCACTGAGTTTAAGAACTGGTAGGATACAAAAGGAGACATTTATGTGGCTTACAATAAGACCATGGTTGTTATAGTAAGAATTAAAAATACACAGGCATCTCAGAACAGATGAAGATCAACTGGCTTGAAAATCAGAGTCACCTTCTAGTTAATGGGCATCAGGGAGAAATTTACCCAGTGGTAAATACTGTAACTGCTTTCTCTGAGATTTCTTGCGACTTTCTCCAAAGTGTCCAGCATTGCAGGTGCTTTAGATACTTGATGAGATGGACTACAGGTATCACAGGACAGCTGTGTCTGTGTGCTTTGATCTAGCTTCAAATATCTGTTTTGAGGGGTTTTTTTGAACGTCATTTGTTAAGATGACCACAGTGGAGAATGTTTCTTCTTCTACTTCACTAATGTAGGGCAAGAATAAATAAAATTTGAGCATAATTTTGCATGAAAATTCAAAGTGATGAATCTGATTAGTTAGTTTTAAGTACAGATTTGGCTAAAGAGGAATTCAAATTGAAAACCATGTTGGACTGGTTTGTTAATGTTTCATCTGAGCTCGTGCGGTTTACGCCGTCTCCTCCCCATGTTGTCATTTATTTTACTTTTTTATGTCATGCTCCATTTCTAAGGCTCTGATATCTTTGTAACCGGTTCATAATTAAAGGAATGAATAATTCAGGTCACTGGCAATTTACAGTTTTCTCTACTCTGCTGTCTGTGGTGGAGTAACTAAATGTGGAAGGTAAAAGGATTCAAAATAAGGTTTGCGTCATGCATCCAAGCAGTCCATAAAGGGTAGGTATTATTTCTTGATCTTATAGCCTACAGAGGACTGACAGCGTGTTTGGAGGCTGGATCAGACTCTCACCAGATCCAGTTCTTTATTCAAACACAGGAACAATACAGGTGGCCAGAGCAGGTGACAGGGACCAATGGACTTTTCCATTTTCATTTCTTTCCTCCTACCATGCCAAGGACACCACGTGCCTCCTGGAGCTGTCCTCTGGTCTCACTTTGGCCCCACTTGGGAAGGAGCCACTCAATTTCAAGGGAGGCTGGAGTCGCTTCCCGTTAGAGTTGCCCATCGTATCAGCGACAGGACAGCCATCACAGACAGCAAGACTGCCAGCCCACGGCAGAAACGCTGAAAAAAGGATGTCTGATGGCAGGAATCATCTTTAGGTCATGTTAGATTGCAAAGGCCATCATTGTAGCCCTGTTTGCTGCTTCTTTCCCTGTTTTTCTCCAAATGTCTAATGTGTAACAGAGGAACAGTTTTCTGCATTGCTTTCATTCGGTAAGCTGTAAGTGTAACACGGGGCTGTAGAGAAACGTAGCGAGGTGCATGTACGTGGTGTCTAATCAGAAGCATGTGAGCAGTACTGCTGAAGAGAGAAGGAATATTCATGTGCTTCACTTTAGACTTGCATTTAATTACCTTGCTAATCAGGGCTAAGTTCCCAACTAAAAGTGATGCGTCATCTCCAGCAATAACCTGATTGTTCCATGGGTAAGGTAAAATTATTTCTCTCTTTACGCATCACTTTAAGATAAGCCGTGCTAAGTGGAATGAATTATTATAGTAAAAAATAAAATGCTGAGTGATAGCTATGTTGAAATGTACTAATGCGATTTGGAAGAGATTTGGGATTACAGTTCTGTTTCTTTCTTATGGTGGTTTATACACATTTTGTTCCAAGCAATTTTGGCAAAAGGTGATAGAAGATTCTTCAGTTCTTTAATTCTTGTATAGCCAAAAATTCTTGGATAGCCAAACCAGTTGTATGTAGCGACTCCTTGAATTTATTAGCTTACACTATTGAGGAAAAGTCTGGTTTTTTATGTACTGAGGCAGTGAAAAGTAACAAAGACAATGAAAACCAACGAAAATTACTTAGCAGACTTTGTAAAATCAGCTTAAAAAGTTAACTGTTAACAACCAAATAATATTTGTGTGTGTGAACACATATGGGCATGTATATCTTGTATCTTAATGCATATAGTTACACATATAACCTTTTCTATTTAAAAATAAGAGTTATCATATGAACTTTCCTTATACTGACACTCCAAAGCCATCACTGGAAAAGCAGTGCTGCTGAGCTGAGCGCAGATGAAAGTAGTGGTAAATTTGTTAACTCCAAAGGAGAGCTGTGATATGTAACATGTCCTGTGACTAGCATAATTTACCAGCATGTGGTTCTGGTTTTGCATATCTCTAATGCCATTGATTTAAAAAACTTACAAGGATGTGAATTTGGATTCACGTAGTGATGAATCAGCCAGCTTCATCATCATTATGTATTTATCTATCCTGTGTCGATGAAAGTTGCTTTTGCCTTTTACCAAATTAAACTAAGCTATACATGCAGTTTCTCCATTTTGTTTTCTTGCCTAAATAGACACTGGTGTGCGTGTGTCTCTTTTTTTTTTCTCAGCCAAAAACATAGGGATAGGATTTTTTTTTTTTGAGGGTGAGAACTACAAAGATACTGTAGCCTGAACACGAGATGGCAGGTAAGCCCCCCGAGCTCCTGTTACTTGCTCTGTTCTGTGGCTGCCTGCAGTCATTTTATATTTTTTTTTCTGCTGGTTGAAGGATTTACTCTAAAGGTGCCACCGCACCAGCCCCCTGTACCTGTGGCTTAGGTGTCTCCTATGCAGCCCTGTTGTAAGGTATGTATGAGGCACCTCGGAGCGCAGGGGACACGTGGTACTGCCCTCTCTAGTTTTGGGAGAGCATGCCTAATGGCATAAACCAGCGGAGCTTCATTGACCTCGGTGGTTCAATATAATTTTCAACTAGTTAATGTGTATTTCCTAACTTGAAGCACGGGCACAGTCAGGAAGGTTTGGAATCGATCTGGAGGTCGCTGCAGCCACATGCTTCACCTGGAATAAAAAAAAAGCTGTTGGTGAGGTTGCTGTTTTACCCATCTCAGGACAGAAACTTTGTAGGAGGTCAGTAAACAAGGAAAAGGAGGTTAACTTTGGACTCTGGAATTAATTTCACCCCGTCAGGGGTTTTCTGTTCCCTCCCCACCCCTTTTAACAGTGAAACCTTGGAGTGATTACATTGATTTTTCTCATTCATTTGCTTTTGTCCCTTAGGTGAAAAGCTCATGAGATTTGGCTATCCAGATATTCCCTTTGATATGAACCTAACCTATGAGAAGGAGGCTGAGCTGATGCAGTCTCACATGATGGACCAAGCCATCAACAATGCAATCACCTACCTTGGAGCTGAGGCACTTCACCCCCTGATGCAGCACACACCAAGCACAATTGCGGAGGTGGCCCCGGTCATCAGCTCAGCTTACGCTCAGGTCTATCATCCTAACAGGATAGAAAGACCCATTAGCAGGGAAACAGCTGACAGTCACGAGAACAACATGGATGGCCCGATCTCCCTCATCAGACCAAAGAGTCGAACCCAGGATAGAGAGGGCTCCCCCAGCAATAGCTGCCTGGATTCTACTGACTCAGAGAGCAGCCACGAAGACCGCCAGTCCTACCAAGGAAACTCTGCCTTAAATCCCAAGAGAAAGCCAAGCCCAGCTTATATGAAGGAGGACGCCAAGGCTTTGGATGCCACAAAAGCTTCTAAGGGCTCTTTAAAGGATATCTATAAGGTCATCAATGGAGAAGGGGAGCAGATTAGAGCTTTCAAGTGTGAGCACTGTCGCGTCCTCTTCCTGGACCATGTCATGTACACCATCCACATGGGCTGCCATGGCTACCGGGACCCGCTAGAGTGCAACATCTGTGGCTACCGAAGCCAGGACCGCTATGAGTTCTCATCGCACATAGTCCGAGGGGAGCACACATTCCACTAGGCCTTCTCATCCAAAGGGGACTTGTATGAAGTAGAAGAACTGCACATGAAGAAATACTGCACTTACAATCCCACTTTTCCTCAGACGTTGAGACGCCTATTTTGTTGTTGTTGCTGTTGTTGTTGCTGTTGTTTAATTATTATTATTGACCTTATTTTTTGTGGACCCAACCTCATTTGCTCTGCCCAGCTTAAGAATGGAAAGAAGGAAGGGAAGGGATAAAAGAGGGGTTTGTTGTCGCCATCACTTTTGGTGAGTGACCTGACTCGCTTTTTGTAGGAGTTGAAAGGCAGTCTGTTTCTGTCTGTCAGCTGTACATCATGTCCTGTTTTGGGATATTGCTCAACCCTGCTAGGTGCTTTAAAGTCACGATGAGATGCCACTCATTTACAATTTCAGACAAATAGGTAGAAACATTTCAGAGGAGAGCCTTTTTCAAACCTGTAGATATAGTGTGGGATTTTGGTGGCTGGAGGAAAAGAGGGGGAACTTTATTCTGCAGAATGAACAATTATTTTTGAAGCAAAACTGTTAGGGATTTAGGAGCACGAATCAAAGTTGATATTTATTTCAAAATTACTTTCGAGGGTGAGCTGTTTTCCTGGGTTCAGTGTGTATTGCCCCTCTAGAAGGTAAAAAACACACACACACACACACACACACACAACCCAAACAAAAAAAAAAAACCCAACAGAAAAAGAAATGTATGTCTTAACACTGTACCGCATTACAGCAGTTTTAGTTTCATAAGTCTGAAGGCCTTCTGTGGTATGTCTGAGGCTTTGTATTTTTATTTTCCTTAACTTATGAAGCACCTTTTTTAGAATTGTTGATTTGCTGTTACTCCATGCCTATGTGTTGACTCACTGGCTTCTTAGAGACCCTTGGGAGCCTTACTTATTTAGTTGCACCCTATGTTTTAAGAAATGGCATTTAGAAATAACATTTAAACTTGCTTCTAGGACAGTAAACGGCCTAGGAGTGGGTGAGAGTCTGTAGTTTACTCAAGAGGTTCTGCTGCTCTTCTGAAATAATTTTGTTTTAAAATTACAGATTTTAAAATGACAAAAGTCCTTGTAGCGAAGTGTTCTTTAAATATAATTATATATCTATATATACCCACATAAATACTTTCTCATTCTATTATCACAGTGTTAACCTCTTGGCAACAGCCTAAACTAAGACTTGCAGCTGAGAAAACGGTAGGAGCCAGGTCCTCGGCCAGCATTAATACTCCTAGCTCCATTGAATTTAATGGAACTACCCCAACTACTTCAGCGACATCAGGATCCGAGCCTTGACCATTTTTTCTCTTGTTTGCTAATTATTTGCTAATATGCTGAACCAGTGACTTCCTTTTGTCTTTAAGTCATCAGTTCTGCTTTAATTTAGGGGTGGAAGTGTTTGCAGGTTTTGCTGGATGGCCTTTGCTCTTGGAGAGTACAGAAGCCCTGCCAATGAACGGATCGCATATGACCTTCCCTGCTTCTTTAGAAAGTGATACATGGAGTGATGCAGGTGCTGTGCTTTGATTTGGATTCGTGGATTTCATTTTTATTCCTAATTTATTAATTTCACTTTAGTGGGCATGGTGGTGTTGGGTTGATGGTTGGACTTGATGATCTTAAAGGTCTTTTCCAACCTTAATGATTCTGTGATTCTGTGAAAACAAATGGAGAAATAAAGTCCAGAGCAAGTCCTTAAACTACAGACTGGACAAGAAAAAAAAAACGAACACCAATCTGTTTGGTTTCCTTTCTTTCTCTCCCAATAAATAACAAAGCCAGCAACCACCCAGCAAGTTGCAGGTTGCATCAGTAAAAACTGGGCTTAAACCTACATGACAGATTGCCATTGAAACCCAACTGTTTGTACCAATCACAATTGAAATGTTGTTGTTTGGCAACAAGAGCACAGCTTGAGAATGGAAAGATCTGCATGGGTTTAACCCCCTCTGTGCATGCAGTCTCCATGCGCTTGGTGAGACCTTTTCCAAAGTATGAAGTTACTAAACTATAAAAGAGAGAGCAAGATCAGGCCATAATGAATTCCCATCTGCTCACTTCAATCTGCGTACTCAATGCGTATGCCAGTTTGCTGTTCGTTTTGAGGGTACCGGGTTTTTTTCTTCTTCTCTTCCTAGACCTGGAGCATTTGAAAGTAGGAGCTGAGTGGTATTGATTGAAATCTTTTTATGGTGACATTCTTGGCAGCTAGAACCTGTGTTTAGAAAGGATACAGTAGATCATGGCCAGATTACCTGATGACTGCTTCCCAGCACTGAAATGCTATTAAGTAGGAGCTGGTAAAGTCTTGCAGTAGCCTATTAATTATAATACAATATGGAGAGAAATGTCATCTTGTGTAATGTGAGAGCTATCAAGGCTGGGAATATACGGGCTTTGAAGAGACAGATTTAAAGACTTGTTCCCAACATTGTTCTTAACGTCATTGGGTTCCACCCCCTCCTTCTTTCTTCTTCCTGATGTAGAGGAAACTCAGGCAAATGAACCGCTGCCGTCCTCCAGACCTTGTTTTCTTGCGCTTGGTGCAATCAAAGGAATTCATGCAGGAGAAAAACGAGGCATCACTTTTATCCCGTATCGCTGATTCTCTGCAGCTATGGAGGTTGTCTTAGGAGGCGGCTGGCTGTGTTCTGCATCAGGATGTGCTTGGAAATTCAGAAAAGGGGGGTTGTTTTTACAGCATGCCACCAAAAAAGAAAAAAAACCACCTTGTTGTGATCTCTACTGAGGCAGGAAAAGTGTTTTAAAGAACAATGTGTGAAGGGAAAGGTGCTGGGCCTGAAGGTCGCTAGGCTTGCATGGGCAAGAAGAAAGGGTTGCTGGCAATCCTTTTTAGTCTCTGGGGGACAACACTCCGTTCTCCCCTCTGTGGTCAGTGGAAAGAACATGGGCTATGGTTTCTTGGAGTAGTTAGCACTAGGGAAAAAGTGTTAAGAAGTTCTGCCTGTGTTTGGGAAACTACCAGAATACGGGAAAGGCAGAGAATCTCTTGTGTATCCACAAATAAGTTGGCTGCAATTGTATCTGCAGTTCATTAGCATGCACTTTCATTCATTGATGATTCATTGATACCTCCTGTAGTGTATATTCTGTAGATGTTTGAAAGATCAGACAGGGAGGCTTAGTGGTTTTGTGGCTGGCTTCAGCTAAGCGCAGCTTCTTGTTCCAATGGTAGCACGCGAGATCTGTATGTGAGCACTGCCATGTCTGCTATCAGAGGCACAGAGAACTGGGGAGGCAGTGGGGAGATGCACTGGCTTAGTTACCTTCCAAAGACTGCAGGTTTTTGGAGCAAGAAGCTGAGGGACTGCATTAGTTTTTATTATCAATGTCCTTTCCTGAACACTCACTGAAGTTTTTCATCCTAGAGCTATGGAAAAGAGAAAGATTAAATTTTAGTTCAAATTTTGAACAAAGTTTTGGACTAGCATTTTTTGGAGCATTCTCTTCCTACATTGAAGGGTTCTATATAAAGTAGTTTGTTCCTACACAGAAGTGTGCACAATGGAGCCTCAGAGACTTTTGGGTTTTTTTCTTGCTTGGTCTCTGCAGATTTCTGAGAAAAGCTCTTGAGTTTTGTTGAGTTCATTAGTCATTCACAGTGTACTAGGAATTTCAGTAGATAATCCTTGGCCTGCAGATCCATTTGTTCTAAGTATTTGGTGTTGAAAATCGAACCTGGCTGATTTTTATTGGACTCTCTTGAAATTCTTGTAATTGAGTTTCCAGTTAAAAACATGCATTTGTAAATTTAGAATTGGCTTCCTGTGATCATTCCCTATTTTCATTTAAAAAAAAAAAAAAAGCCTTTTCTGCACACATCCCTGCCAGTAAATCCTTTCGCTTCTTTTTACATAAAAATGGCAAGATTTTGACTCAATTTAGAGTATTACAACCCTATTAATTGAAAGAGAAGTGTGACTGCTTATTGTGCTCTTGGTATGATCCATGTTCCTGGAGCAAAGGGCATTATCTATATATCTGCTCTTATGGCCAATGAATTTTACAGCCACCTCTCTTTGCAATCAGTTAGGAGTGCACATCAAAATATATAGCATTTTTCAGTAAAGCCAGCTCTTTACTCAGTAACTTATGGGATTAAAACAATTTTATTCTCCTTAAAAAGTGCTTCCATCTATGATGTGATGTGAAAGGTGTCTAGGCATTAACCTCTATTGGTCTGTATTAGAGAGAAAAAATCTAAATTTGTTAGTTGGTCTGATTTTTTGATGGTAATAGTTTCTTACAATGTGAGGACAGAGCTCACAAAATAGCCATGTGGAACTAAATTATATTTAGTAAAAGGTGAAGGAATTCTCAATTTTAAGCGTTTCCAAATTTCTTTCTATTTAGAAGGGCATTCCTAAATTGGGGCAGTCAGGCAGAAGAGGAGGCCAGGAGTTAAACCAAACCCTTCAATAGGACATTATTACTGTTGTCTAGGTCCAGAGCTATCTTCTTCGTATTTGAAAGAAGCCAGGCAGCAGACACTCCTTCCTCCAGAAAGAAAACTTTGGAGATAATTTAGGGGAAGGTGCTTATTTCAGCAAAGGACAAGAGCCGCAGTAATACAGTTCCTTTGCTAGGTAATAGTCCTTTCCTTAACTCTTCGCTGTGCATTATAATGTAACGAGGAGGGAGAAGGGAGGCTGCGCCGACACCCGAGTCACCTTGACGCAGTGTGGGATTTTGGGAAAAGTGTGATGAAATTGGCTTTGACGCTAGAAATTTGCATCTTAGCTTGGCTTAGTATCATTTAAAAACGAACATGGATGGTAGTAATGACCTGCGGTCTAGGGCAGCTGGAGATTTTGAGAAAGTATATTTATATATATATATGGTATCGTATAATTAGATATATGCTTGATTGTATATGTGCCTTTTTCAAATGCATTTTGGAAGTTCATGATGTCATTCGTGATATCCTACCATACCCTTTCAGAATGCACAACAAAAACCAACCCAAAGTAAACATCCCCTCTCCTACGGCGTAGCGAGGCAGATCCCTCTCCCCTTCTGCACCCTCCTGGGCAGCTGGACCGGGAGAGAGGACCGACCTAGTACTTTGCTGTGAGATTTCCTGGAGTCAGCTGGCTTTTGGGAGTGGGAAGGGCTGACAATTACCCTAGCAAAGTGCATTCCAGCTGTCCAGCCAGAGCTGGTCTCGGAGCTGGTCCCAACCGACGCAGCGAGCCCCGGCTGCACGGTGCCCTGTAGATTGCCAGCGTAGCCGTCGCCTGTTTTCTCCCCCTCCAGAGC